ACATCAGGGCAGGCACTCCGATATCGGAGTGGTTGAGTAACAGCTCTAGCAGGAGCGGGGGCGCCACGTCCGCGATTGCAGAAACGCCTGAGTCACTACTGGGGCGCTCCATGTTAAATCATGTCTCATTCTGCCGCGATGCGTCTCCTTAAGTATGGCAGTTTCGTCGAAAGAGCCGCTTCTTCAGCGGAACAAGCATCTTCTGAAAAGGTGGGATTTGCATATTTTTCTGGAGAGATTGCACGCGAAGGACCCTTGGCAACTCTCTTTTCGGATGTTGCACAACCTCCACAGGGATGGTAGCCACAGCATTGTCATTGAAATCGAAGATGAGGACGAGGTAACGTACGAACTGACGTTCACTTCCACCTCCAATCCCAGCAGATTCGTGGTGGAAGGCCGTCTCGACCCCCGCTCTGGGAGCGTGGGCTCGGACTATGAGGAAACGTCCGCGACGATGACGGTAGGCCAGATCGTGAGGCTTCTGCAGAGGTACACTGTTGCGGAAGTTGCAGCAACGGGCGGCGAAAACCCCGTTCGCTTCCGGCAAGAAAACTTGCTTGGGGCCGAGAATCAAGCCCGCGTGCGCGAACAGAGATTTGCCCCCAGGCTTCCGCGATATGAGCAGCTTTCAACTGGCCAGGGGGTCATTACGAACGCCACGAACTGGGGCTTTGGGGGCGGCGTGGAATGGGCCGACTCGCCTGTGTATCTGAACAGTGATGTTGACCCGAGAGACATGCACGTGCGCCACGTCATCCCGTATGACATCATCGAGCAGGTCAGACGAAGAGGCAACAGAACCGTGCACGGGTTTGACGTTGGGGATTGAGAATCGGGGGCGCTAGCCCCACAATTGTGCATGATTGAGAGGTCTCTCGAATGTGACATCAAAGCAGCAACCGATTCCGGTTCAAGTAATGCATAAGATATATTTGAGTCTATGAAGGTATCGAATGTCTCCAATATACGTTATCTGTGGCTATGCATTTGATCTGTGCCACGGCCATGACCTGAGGGGTGCAGGAGAAGCGGGGGCATGGACACTGTGTGATTTTCGTCCAAGCCTGCGGAAGCGGCCGGGTTTCTTGTCATCAATTTCACTGCTGCTGCCAGGACATAAGTTGTTGTAATTCCTTTTTACGGGTCGCCTTTCGAAACAGCGTTGGAAATTGGAAGGCGAACTTCCTCTTTGACGTGAGAAACAGCCGCCATGTATGCCGGTTGGACGCCTACCAGAGGGCACAAGTTCGTGTACATCGATCTATCACGACTGATTAGGGCACTGAGCTGGAGGACAACTTGACCCGCCGTCCGATGCAAGGTACACAATTTGACGGCAGTGCAGCTTTTGAATTTTGTCCTTGACTTTTTACTTTTCTTCCTCCTGCTTACCAATTTCTACCGTCATCAGGGTGTCACACTGAGGGTGTCATTAGGGTGTAGTACCTCTGGAAGTCGGATGTTGCCTTCCGCCCCAGCCTTCAGCTTTCAGAGGCTTGCATGCCAATTACACAAATCTCCGTGACGGTTCGACTCCGAGTACTGGTAAAAGCAAGGAGAGTCTACAAAGTGACCGGGTGGACCAAAGCAAGGCCCCTCGAACCCTTCGAAAATTCTGCATTACATTCTCCAGCTGAGGAACTTTCAAAGTGTGCGAGGGACTGAGTACCTCCAATCTCGCCATTTCTAGAACAAGCGCTCTTCCAAAGCTATCAGCTCCCCTTTCGGTTCTAGCGTCTGAGGCAGGACAGGTGGTAGCAACGCTGGACGGGCAAACTCTGGTGATTTTCATCGGATTGATTTACACCACAATTGCCTGACTGTTATCATACCTTTTCGATAGAATGATGACGCTGGCCTAAAACAAGTCGCCACTCTAGGTGAGTATCCGTATACAGTCTACTTGGATGATTCTTTTGGAAAGTACCTCGCGAGATGGCCGACGCTCGTAGTCATCTTCCAGCTCATAAGGAGAGTTTCCCTGGTCTATCCCAACGACCAGATGCACGCCCTTTGCCTGCGCAATGGAACCTGCCAGCGCCTCCTGCTGTGCAAACGGAAGGCAAGCGGAAGGGATGCAAGTCCAGTGCCAGATTATTGTCTTCGAGGCGTGAGAAATCAAGGACGTTGTCAATGAGGGTGCACAGCAAAATCGCGCTTCTGGAGATTGTGTGCACCATGCTCTGTCGTCCGCTGTGAGCTCCGACTCGTTCATGAGGGCCGTGATTGCATGGAGGTGGGTGCGTTTCATGACTGCCAAGAAATTCGTCCCGAGACTTGGCAGAGAACTCCGCCCTGAGAGCCTCTGATGTGACGGCACGACTGCGCACCGACTCCCGGCTGCGCGCTGAACTCGCGGCCGCGCATCGTCCGTTATTATACGCTATCGACTTATTTGATATATCGAATCACTACACGACACGTGTCTGGGTTACTGCTTCACCGCGTGACCGTCCGATAAGACCCACGTGCACTGCGTGCGAGGGAACCGTCCGATGAGCTTTCGAGACTAAGCTT